TAACTAATACGTATTCGTATTTTGTGCTGTCACTCGCGTTGATGCAGCCGATGCTACTAAATGCAAAATTGGAAACTTGTATGTGAAGACACGTTTAAATGCCGCACTGCTCATACTTCGCAAATAAGCGTTCATATTAGGTTCATTCCTTATCTTTTTGGACTAAAATCTGAAAAGTGTCAAAATGCCAGAGCGTAAGCAAAATGCGCTCACTAAAAGAGAGTAACAGGAAAAGTAAAGGAACGCAAAAAACCAAATTTTTAGTCCAAAGAATGGCAACAACAAAACTAACGTCAAATAAGAACAGAAATGTATGTACAAAACACATTCACACAAGCACAAGCACAATAAACACTTGCTATATCAATTATTTTTTGCCTCCTTCCAATTTCAATTCATTTCTTTTACTTTTTAGATTATTCTCACTTTTAGCGTATTCTTTAATTTCCGTTAATTTAAATTCAGTTGAGTTTGACACTTTTCAGGATTTTGCCAGAAAAAATTCTTCTGACTAAATCTGACTACTTCGGACTGATGAGAGTCGCTCTCACTGACTGTTGCTCTCTCATTTTTGCTGTCATTTCCGAGTTAAGGAACGCTTTTTGGACTAAATCTGACTACTTCGGACTTTTTCTGACTATTTCTGGGAGATAAGGAACGCGCATATTTAGAGCGCTGGTACATAAAATGAACAACAACAAGAAAACATGTACGTACATACTGCACAGGAAGCGAGGTCAATAATATTTAGCACAGGACCCTCTATGCAACCAGCTTCTAGTTGCCTACTAGAGTCAATATGAAAGCTAACAAGCAAAATTACATGAGCGGGGGGCTGGCAAAATATGCACACAAAAAATGATTGTAAGCGCTTTAAAATGCTCGATAAACAAAGAAAACAGTTTCTTAAATATGGTTATTCAATGAAGTTTTATTTCAAGCTTTCAATATTTTTATTCAATAATATCGGAATTACTCTTTCAAATTTTTACAATTTCTAAACTTTTTTCAACATCAAACCTTTTTTTTAATGAACGTCAAGTCTACAAGTTCACGCAGTTAGCTGGATTGGCATATATCATTTGCGGCATCATCGTTAGGGATGGCAAAGTCGACTTCGACTTTCGATCAAAATCGACTTTTTACTCCTGAAAGTCGAATTTTAGTGATCGACTTTTAGTTTATGGAGGTCGACTGAAGTCGACTTTTCACCTTCGTCTCTCGACTTTTTTTGATTTATTTGCATATAAAAACTGATCTTCTAACAAGGGCGCGGAGTGCTGTTTGGTCGTATTTAAAAAAATTTGCCAATAAAACTGAAGTGAAATTTTAAAAGTGTGGTAGAGAAATGAGTTTTAATGACAGTACAACAACATTGTCAAATCATTTAAGAGCAGCGCATAAAATTACTATACGAAAACAAATTCCTCAAATTTGTTAATCGTTTGTCTCCACAGTCTTCAGTTAATAATGAGGTAAGATAAACATAGGTATTTATTTTAAAAATTTCATGCAAGAAAGTTTTTCTGCATGAGTTTATGTAAGTTTCTACAGACAGTCTTTGGTTCGAATTTGACCAATCCGTAAGGTACAACATTTTAAACACCGCTAAAAACGTTGCTGGTAGGATTCCAGTTAATATGCGACATTAGTCGTGTGGATAGTCCCAATCCACTAGCTGCCTGGGCTACTCCCATATTTATCCATGCTTATAAAGTGGCACTATATTTCTACCAATACCCGCCAATTCTGCTCCATCGGAAGGCCACATTTTTCAAAAAGTTGTCCGTAATTACCAAATATCGATTCAAAAAATTTTTAGAATATTTTTGTTTGTGAAAATTTAAAAATTTTTAAATTATTTTTCAAAAATATAATTTTTGAAAACCCTCACCACCTACATTTTCATGCTATATAACTGGAACAATTTTCAAAATTTTTAAAAATCCTTTAGTGTCTGTTTTTTTTTACCTAGCATTGAATTTCACTAAATTACAGATTATTCTAAAGACCACTAGTAAATCATGATATTTTTGGCGTATTCTGACTCTTATATTTATAGCTAATATGTGAGTTAAATGCAGAGTATAGTTAATACATTTTCTTTTTATTAAAAAAGTCGAACAAAGTCGACTTTTCTTCGTGGATCGGTCGACTTTTAAAGTCGGCTGTACAGGGTCGATCGAAAAGTCGAAAGTCGACTTTCTAGTGAAGTCGAACAACCCTAATCATCCTCCAGTTGTTATTTACGATCAAATGATTGAGGTCTCATTGGGAGCCCTCAAACATATATTTACATATGCATCTACGTGCATTTCTGCTCATAAATGAAAATATATGCACATATGTATATACATATGTATGTTTCTGAAATATATGCATAGATCTACACAATTGCCAGACATATGTAAAATGAGCCTTTTCAATCTTTTGCTTAGGTTTGTCAGCCCTGCACATGGGGATGAAAAGTGGAAAAACACAAACCGTATAGAGATACACACTGAGCAATGCTATCAATTTCGTTTCTCGCAAAAGTTGCTAAAAGTTTTTTAAGTCAAACAACAAGAGCGACCCCGCAGACACTCGCTTGAAATTTTTTCAAAACCGAAGTTATCAGCAACAGTCGATTTGTTTCCCCATCTCTTATAACAGAGTTGCATCAAGTGGCACAACAATGGACCCCAAATGCAAAGGCGTTGCGGTTTTCGTGTACGCAAACAACAAAAGGCACTACAAATCTAACGAAATAAGAGATGCAGAGATGCAGAAATTTTCGCAAAATGTTTTTGGTTTAAAAAAAAAAAAGGAAATAGCAAAACCTTAGTTACGTGCAAAATGATTTAAAAACTATTTACAAGTGGCGGCAGGAGGAAATGAGAAACGTAAGTAGCGTACAGAAAACGACAACCTGCAAACGGCAGAGAGCTGTTGTTTGGAAGAATAGTGCCGTTTATTACTGATAATTACGACGAAGCGCCACCAACTGCCAACATCGCTGAGACACACTTCTAACTATTGTGGCCATTGTAAGCATCTCGAAAAAGCCCGAATGACGGTCGAAACGTACAAACGTGCTAGAGGACAGACGAGCCCCAAATGCGAAAAGTTTGCAAATTTGCAAAATTTTGATAATTTAAAGTTACTGATGGCAATATATGTACATATTCGCGCACTCTCACCTCAGCCAAAGTGCACTTATATAATAGTGTTAGTATTGCCACCATCGCAGGTACATAAAGTAGTACTTTTGCCACATTTCAAAGGACAAAGTTATCATTTATCAGCTGATGCAGAATGCACACATTTTTAATATGGTAATACGCACATTTTTGCAACTAGAAATCATACAAGAAATCATCTTTGCTGTTTTGTTTGACTATTTAATAGTATGCCCATAAGATATATGACTTTTTTTAATTAAACATACCTATTAGGAGAGGATGAGGAATGATAATAATAATATTTTAAATGCTTACTTTAGTTCCGAAATAAGAATAATAGCCAACAATTCAAAATTCGAAAAATAAAAACTGTTGCTACTGTTAAGTGGCTCATGTCTTTAATCCTTGTTGAATCCATGCCTAATCTTTTGTACTTACTTTAGCAATCCTTACTGCTTACTTTAGTAAGGGATGGAAATGGATTAGACAAGGATTAGAGACAAGCGCCACTTAACAGTAGTAACAGTATTTGTTTTTTTGAACTTTGAATTGTGTCGCTATTGCACAGGACCATCAATATGTGGAGCTAATTTAAAAAAATTAGAATTTGTATATTTTCAGGCTATATGAATTTCCATATGTGACTCTGAATATAAATTAAGTTAAGTTAACAATCGTTTAACTAAGCACTGTTAATCTGGCTCTAAGTGGGTCTCCTTTTATCAGTAAATTTTTACAAAATTTGAATTTTTTATTGGAACTCGCTATGTTAATACCAAAACACTGCCCAGCCTCCTTAACATGAATGTCTAAACGAAGAAGGTTTTAAGATAACCGGAGTTTTACAAATTTTCAAAAACCGGTGCAAAGTCCGAACGCTGATTTAGAGCCATTCGTAATCTACCTTGTGATGTTACGAACGTTATCATTTTTATTTCAGTCCACTAACACGAGAGGAAAAATACCTTGGAATGATTCTGGACTCCAAGTTGAATTGGAAAAAGAATTTAGAGGAGACAGCCAAGAAATCTCTAGCAACATACTACACGTGCAAAGGGGCCTTTGGAAAGCAATGGGGACTATCACCGTACAGTCATCAGACCAATTGCAACCCACGGCTCCTTGTTACGGTGGAAGGGCCTATACAAAGGGAGTAACAATAAATTAATAGGAAAAGTGCAAAGACTCAGCACTTGGCATATCAGGGGCACTAAGTAGGGCACCTCAAGGGCTTAACATGATATTTCATTTACAACCGCTGCGTATTTGTTTTCATCAATGGTAGCGCTCTGAGGCTCAGAGAAGCCAAAGCGTGGAAGGCAGCCAACTTCGGGCATGCAGCAATACTGAATGAAATAAAAAGGGGCCAGATAAATAAAATTAAAACTGACATAGAAGTAATGATTCGCCTTGCCTAAAACTGTGTTTGGCCTCGAAAAGTTCTTCCAGTTTGAACAGAGCTTAACGTATTAGAGAAGGTAAATCCAAAGATCAGGCATGGAAGATTCTTGTATTTTCGTTCTATTAAGCAGATTTGACGTGATGTGAAATGTGTAACAAAATGTACATACTAATTTTTTAGGTACGTTCGTCAGCTTTAAAGCACAATTTTTTCATAAACTTAAGTCCAACTTGAAGATTTGATGTCCCATCCCTGGTATGCTCATCAATAAACTTAGCTTCGGGCCTTCATACATACATACACATATACATAGTATATCAATCTATAACCTTAATGCGCACTCTCATTCACACAAGCAACATGCCAACATATTTACATATCCTACATATGTAACTATTTAAGTTCGATATCGAAAAATGTGAAACGTTATCACCTACCTTTCTTCGTCCACAACAAAGCATTCTTCGCGCACGCGAATTTCCAGTAGCTGCTTTCAATCGTGTAAACTTCTTCTTCCACTGCATCTAGTGGTAGTGCGGGCGTGGTGACACAACGTATCTATGGCACGTTTCGACTCTTCCACTCCAATATGGCATAACGATGAGCGAGAATACCTTAATTGTCGCAGCTAATGTGAGCCACAATAAAATTTCGTGTCCAAGTCGAATTTCAAATTCCAAAGCATAAAAGCGAAGGGCAGAAGCGGCAAATCAGGAAATAACGGTTTTATTGAATTTCATGTCCGTTGCAAATGAGTTGATTACTTGAGTTATCTTTACTAGTTCACGATTGTGTCACATGTATTTTAATATGCTTGTCTAGAATTGTACTGGATCTGTGAAGAAAAATAAGATAAAGAACATTTTTTGTTACCATTTTTTGCCATTAGATGCTAGTCCTTATTATAAAGATTATCTAAAAGTTATTTAACGATCTGGAATTATTTCAATTCTCTGTTTCTGATATCTAATTGCTAATTAGTACACATGTATGCACATTAGAGTGGTCCAAAAATGCATGTGAAAAAGTAAAGTCGGAATTTGTATGCTCTCACCCCCTAGGATTGTTCTATACCGAAAAAAATATACCGTTTTTATTTTTTTTATGAAATCAAAAACTATTTAGAGATCGCTCTAGGCGCTCAAAGTTTGCCATGTATTTTATATGGGAAAAAAATTTTTTTCGTATAAATGGTATAGAATTCTTCAAAATCAATATTTTCGATCAGAACACTCTGTTTTTCTTCAAAAGGTTCACAATACCCAATACCAATACCCAATTATTTATTTAACCATTTTTTCATAGTAACTATAGGTCCGCCAAAACCCTCAGAAAATCCAATAGAGAGATAATTAAAAAATCTTTAGTATTAAAACCTGGTTAAATAAACATTGGGTATTGTTATGAGAAAACTAAGACTATAGGCCTTCAACTATATATCTTGTTTTCAGACCATATTAGATCTTTGAAATCGAATCAAAAGTAGTCATTCAAAAACCCATAAACCTACAAAATCCCATTTTCTGACATAAATCGACAGGTCGCGACTTCTAAACGACCTTCAAAAAATCTACAAAAATAGGCAATTATATTTCTTATAGAAAGGAACAAAATTAGGAGGTAGGGCACCCAGCGAAACGCCGGGACACGTATAACTTGTTTTTGACCGATATAACATTTCCCGCTGGTTTCATCCCATCCCGATTTTGACTGTCGCATAGTGTAATTTATCGTCCATATAACAGAGATATCCCAGCAAAAAACACGATTACCACAGAAGCGAAAGTGGAAACGAGCTAGGCGATGGGAATCGCTTACCCTTTCGCTTCAGGAAGGCCTTATTTTGACATGGGCATGTCATTGGCGGTAAGCCCTTACCCGCAGCATTACCTTCAAACGAAGGGAGAACGCATGGATAAACAGAATCCAGAGAAGCGAACAAAGAATGCCTTACAGAGAAACTAATGTAGAATGCCCAGATGAGTATATACTTATTTACATATATTAAATCAGAAACTGTGTTAAAAGATTAAAATTAATTAAAATTTGTATAAACCAGTTTTTATACATACATATGTATGTATTTGGGTATTTAGATTTTACTTAAAAATCGGTATGTACATACATGCATATTTAATTAAGCTTAAAATTGTACTTCCTCACTCATGTACTTCACTTCATTGACTGACTTCAACTTCGCTGCAAATTGAACAAAGCAAAACATGATTTTTATGCGAGACAAATTTCCACAGAAACTAACGGTAGAAAAAGATTTTTTGGATATTCATTCTATTTTTCAGCTGACTACGATGCAGCATTCTACTTTGCATTCCCCGAAATGAAGCAAAGAAGCGAAATAAAAAAAAAAATATTGTAGGACATTCTACTTTGCATGCCCTGAAATGAAGCAAATAAGCGAAAAAAATAAAATGTTTTAGGACATTCTACTTTGCATTCCCTGAAATGAAGCAAAGAAGCGAATTAAGAAAGAAATATTATAGGACATTCTACTTTGCATTCCCCAAAATGAAACAAAGAAGCGAAATAAATAAAATATTGTATGACATTCTACTTTGCATTACCTACAATGCCTAAAATAAGTGAAAAAATTCGAAGGCATTACAACGCTATGCCTTCTAGAACACGTTACCACTAAAAGCGATTACCGATTTTTTGCTGGGATGCCACAGCAAAGCGTGGCAGGGTACAGCTAGTTATTTATAAAATAGCTAAGGAATTTTATCGGTTTTAGCTGTCCAAATAAAGGAGTTTTACAGTAAAACCCCATATCTGAACAATCAGTTGTATGGAGGCAATACAAATGTTATAGTGACCTGATCTTTGTTAATTTTAATGTAAGTTTTCTGTTTATATTGAGTGAAAATAGTGTAAAATATAATGTTTCTAGCTGCATAAATGGCGAAGTATTATAACAAAAAATCTCATTTCTGAACAATCAGTTGTATGGAGGCTATAGGTTATAGCGACCAAATCTTCACCATTTTCATTATAAGTATTCTTTAATAGTGAGTGAAAATAATTCGAAATTTCATGTTCCCAGCTGCATAATTTAACGAAAATTCTGATATCTGAACAATCAGATGTATGGGATTAATAATGTGTGAAAACGGTGGGTAATTTCATGTTCCTAGCTGCATAAATGGAGGAGTTATGATAAAAGACCTCATATCTTAACAATCAGTTGTATGGGGCTACAGGTTGTAGTGACCCGACCTTTGCTACTTTCCACTGTAAATTTCCTGTTGATAATTATTAAAAACAGTGCGAAATTTTATGTTCCTAGCTATATAAATGGAGGAGTTATAACGAAAAATTTTATATTCGAACAATCAGTTATATGGGAGCTATAGGTTATAGTGACCCGATCTTTGTAATTTTCACTGTAAATATTCTGTTGATAATGGATTTGCAAAATTGCATGTTCCTATCTGCATAAGTGGAGGAGTTATAACGAAAAATTTCATATCTGAACAATCAGTTGTATGGGAGCTATATGTTATAGTTACCCGATGTTTGTAATTTCCACTGTAAATTTCCTGTTGATAATTATTGAAAACAGTGCGAAATTTCATGTTCCTAGCTATATAAATAGAGGAGTTATAACGAAAAATTGTATATTCGAACAATCAGTTGTATGGGAGCTATATGTTATAGTTACCCGATGTTTGTAATTTCCACTGTAAATTTCCTGTTGATAATTATTGAAAACAGTGCGAAATTTCATGTTCCTAGCTATATAAATAGAGGAGTTATAACGAAAAATTGTATATTCGAACAATCAGTTGTATGGGAGCTATATGTTATAGTTACCCGATGTTTGTAATTTCCACTGTAAATTTCCTGTTGATAATTATTGAAAACAGTGCGAAATTTCATATTCCTAGCTATATAAATAGAGGAGTTATAACGAAAAATTTTATATTCGAACAATCAGTTATATGGGAGCTATAGGTTATAGTGACCCGATCTTTGTAATTTTCACTGTAAATATTCTGTTGATAATGGATTTGCAAAATTTCATGTTCCTATCTGCATAAGTGGAGGAGTTATAACGAAAAATCTCATATCTGAACAGTCAGTTATATGGGAGCTATATTTTATAGTAGTCCGATTCTTCCGGTTCCGACAAATGATTAATACAATTTAAAAATAGACCCTCTTACCAAATTTCATCCGGATACCTTGAAAACTGAGAGACGAGATTGCATACAAACAGACGGACATGGCTAAATCGACTCAGCTCGACGTTCTGATCATATAAGTATACATTTTAATGGGTCTATCTCTTTTTATTCTGGTACTTACAAACTTAGGACCAAAGTTATAATACCATTTCATGCTCATGAAAGGTATTACTAACACATATGTACATACAAATGTATGTGCTGCTTTCTTTGGTACTATAAAACAGGCCTTCCCAAAGTGGGTGACGCGGTACCCTAGGGTGCCGCTAGTGGCTAGAGTATACTAGTGGTGCGGACAAATTCTTTAGATTTTCCATACACAACGCAAACTTCAACATGGCGGCCAGAAAATCAAAAATTTTAGATTTCTATTAAAATTACCTTCAGCGGCTCGTCTAACCCCATACACAACACAAATAGCTTGCAGCAAAGGGATATCTCGCTCTTAAGCGTAGTTTCCCAGTACGTATTGTCAACGTAAAATTGAATTAGAGAATTTACAGAAAAATAGCCGAAAATGTACCCTTTTCACAACCACTTTCGGTACTTTTGTAGACACAATCCGCGTTTCATCCACTTTTCTTCCCGTTTTTAGATTAATTTTCGGACTTTTTGCTGGCTGGGCTGTTCTCGTAACAAGCGCAGCAGCTTCGCGCAAGTTTATATATTACTTATTCTTTGGAACTTCACAATCACACTGTCAGAGAGCGAATCAACACGATTTTAGAGGCAGTCTTCTCGTGTTAGTGAGGTACCCATTCGCAATGCAAATCGAAGAAGAACGAAGTACTTCAGTCAGTACTTAATTTTTAAAGCTATCGACAAATTTGTACAGAACAATGGTTTCAAATGGAGCAAGTGTGCGGATATTTGCGGTGGTTGGAAAAACGAAAGGAGCGATGTCTACGATGAAGCAAGATGCAGAAAATGCCATGAGAAGTCACTGTATGATCCCTCGGTATTTCCAGGCGACTAGGAAGATGACACTACTAGATTTAAAACCCGTGTTGGATGACGCTGCGAAGATAACAGAGGCCTGCGAAATTAAAATACATCTTTGGTTTTTTTAACAAGACGAGATTTTTTTTTATACCCGAGCGCACTTGTGCCCAAGGGTATATTAANTTTTTATACCCGAGCGCACTTGTGCACAAGGGTATATTAATTTTGTTCACATAACGGTTGTTTGTAACAGCCAAAACGAATCGAGATAGATATAGATATAGACAAATGTATACATAAATGCTCAGAATGAATAGAGAAATCGATTAAGCCATGTCTGTCTGTTCGTCCATCTGTCCGTCCGCTCGTGTACACGATAACTCGAGCAAAAATTGAGATATCTCAACGAAATTTGGTAAGTAGGTTAATCCAAGGTAGGTTGGTATTGAAAATGGGCAAAATCGGACTGTAACCACGCCCACTTCCCATATAACGGTGATTTCCAGAAATACGAAAACTGCGGTATTTTAGTAACTACTGCAGATAATTCACTCAAAATTGATATTTACAATAATTTTCAGACGAAAAATAAGAATATTATAAATTTTTGGAAAATGGGCGTAGCCGCTGCACCAATTTCTTCCAAACTTGGCACAGTTGTTGGCCTTGGTTCACCATACCAAATGGC